CTTCAATATTGACAGAATGAGCTATTTTTGTATTTTTCCATTTAAATTGGAAGGAAAGTCCATCTGGTTCCCTTCGTGCTGCCAGGGGAAAAAGGCTGTTCTTGGGTCAGCTTTCCATGGGGCATCTCCTCGCTGGAGACCCAGGGGAGGCCGTGTGGCCAGGACCTCTGTCTGGTGCTGGAATGGAGCAGGGACCACATAATTAAACACTAATTAGGGATGGAAAACGAGCAGGACCCTGCAACTGCAAAGGGAAGGTGGAGTGACATAAATGAGATCGAAATTGTGACCTTTTTCAATAAGCAGGAATATTAACTAAGTGTGACTAATGTAGGGGGGGAATAATCCTTCCTCAGTCCTCATGCCCGGGGCCGACGTGGAGCTGGAACCTTTGGGCTGCTCCCAAGGAACCACAGCAGGTGGTGCTGGACAGCCCTGCCCACTGTGCCCCGGGGTGTCACTCCAGGAGTTATTGTGGAGCGTGGACCTTTTCCATCCCCAGTTCAGGAAGCAGTTGCCTTTCTTACCTTCAGGGTGTGTTTTTTGCATCAAGCACCAGCCTTGTGGCAAAGCAGTTCCCGACAAATCCCGCTGGGATTTGGCACCACTGCCTCTTGCCCTGCCTTGCTCAGCCCTGCACCAACATCTGGCAACCTCTGGAAAGCCAGGCCTGGGTTGTTTGCTGTTGCAGTGACAGACAGGGTTGTGACCTGATGGGTCAGGCTCATTCCCTCACCACACACCTCCCACCAAGGCTGCCAGGTTTTTTTCCATGCCCTGAGGTTCCCTCTGGGTCGGGCCGTTGCTGCCTTGTGAATTTTGGATCATCCCAGGCAGGGCCATCCCTGTCAGGGATCACTCCATGCTGGACTGGGATCCTGTCCATGCTGGCTCCATCATGTGCCACTGGAGCCTGGCACAGCTGCCTCCATCCCAGTGACTTCCCTCTTTCCCAAGGCTTTTCAGAAACAGGTCTTTTCCCCTTTGTTCCATGTTTTAACAGCTCTGCCTAATTTTTCCTCTCCATTTCTCTCCCTGAGGTGCTTTCTGGCTGTGCCCCTCCAGAATCTGGGAGATGCCCTGTCCCTGCTGTGCTTCTGGGAGCAGGTGGAGCTGAATTTTTCCTCTTTTCCCTGCTGGTTTTCCACATTTTGCTCTTTTGGGGGCCTGTTACTGGGAGAGGATCTCACCGAGGGTTTCAGATGAGCAGCCCCTGACACCTCCTCGGTGATAATGTGTCACTTTTATTGTTCATATTCCAGTAACTAAAGGTCAAATGGAAGCTTGGCTGGCTGGGAAGTCTGACATTAATTACATTAATGAGCAAAAGTCTCTGGCTTTACTGCTCCCTGCTCCTGGATGCCAGGGCAGTGCAGTGCTGGCTGGATCCTGGGCACCATCAGGGGTGTTGAGGGACTCTTGGAATGTCCTGAGCTGGAAGGGACCCACAGGGATCATCAGCCCAACTCCTGGCCCTGCCCAGGACACCCCAACAATCCCACCCTGTGCCTGAGAGTGTTGTCCAAACGCTCCTGGAGCTCTGGCAGCCTTGGGGCCGTGCCCACTGCCCTGGGGAGCCTGGGCAGTGCCCCAGCACCCTGTGGGGGAAGAACCTTTCCCTGAGATCCATCCCAACCCCCCTGGCAAAGCTCCAGCCCTTCCCTGGGTCTTGTCCCTGGTCCCAGGACACACTGGTGACTCATATCCATCTTGCCACCAACCAGGACCCCCAGGACCCTTCCTGCAGCTCTCTGCAGATTTGCTGCCTTGCCTGGAAGAGTTGATGTGCTCATCCCAAGGGATGCTCCTGCCTTAGAAGAGCTTGACTCAGCCATCCTGGTCTGGTCCTCTGGGGGTACAAGTGTCTCTGCTGATTTTCAGCACACCTGGGCCTGTTTGGCTTTTGGCTTTGCTTCAAGAGTCTCCCATGCACAGAACTTTCCCTGGGAACTTGCTCTCTCCTCCATGGTGGTCCCATGTTGTTCCCAGGGGGGAGGAGACTCATCCCCTGGCTCCTCCACTGAGCAGCCTAGGAAGGAGTTAGAATACAGATTTTAAGAATATATTCCTTAAAATACAAGGCCCAGGGGCCAGACAGTGGCAGCTGCCCTGATGGGACAAACACGGGCAGAGCCAGGGAGCTGTGCTGGTGTCGGGGGTGGGACTGGGGGAGGTTTGAGCCACTTCACCCACGTGCTGGTGGGTCCCCTTTCACAGGGATTAAAGTGTATTTGCAGACAAAAACCGCGGAGGTAACCTGAAACAGAGGTTGCTAAGTGACACGGGAGCTGCCAAAAACAAATGCCAAGACCATCAGCTGAGCCCCTGATTGTTCCCAGGGCTGGGAATGATGGGCTCACATAACAAGCCAAGCCCAGGTGGTCTCTAAAGTGAGTTTAAATTCCAGCATTCCCAATGCTCAGACAGGTCTGGAAGCAAAGCCTCTCCATGCCTGGCTGCCTGCAGGGAGGGCAGGAGGGGCCAGGCAGTGCTGGGAGCTGGGCACGTTTGGCTTTACAGCAATTTGCTCTCAGCAGGTTTGCAGTAAACACATGGGTAGGTCCAGCTTGCCGGAATTTGGTTTAAATTTTGCTTTATCCATCCCCAGAGCTGGAGCCTGGCCACCAGGAGCAGCAGCTGAGCTGCTCTGTTGGGACTGTATTGAAGCCCTGAGTGGTGATGGCTCCGAGCATCACCCATGGTGCCTCCTGCATCACCCTTGGAACACCAGAGCATGGGACGTCTCACTGCAGTGGGAAACAAACCCATTTCCTTCCCAACTGTCACACTGCTCAGGCACTGGAGCAGCCCCACAGCAACTGCCAGTGCCAGGTATCCCCAACAGATCTCTGTGCATCGTCCCTGTGGAGCTGGGATCCCTCTGGATCCCCTCGAGGCAAAATCCTTGGGGATATCAGTACACACAGGATGTCAGTACCCACAGGATTTTAGTTCACAGGAGATGTTAGTACCTACAGGATTTTAGTCCTCCAGTGTAGTTGCTGGTGGTGCCACAAAGCTCCCCCAGAGGTGCTGAGGGCAGGCCGGGCTGTTCCTGGCTCATTTCTCCACAGCAGGGCTTGGTTTGGGTCACTCTTGATGTTTTAGGTGTTGGGTGTGAGTTCCTCCTACCCGTGAGTGCATCAGCCCCCTGTGCTGAGGAGAAGTGATCCTGCCTGCGATCTTGGGCTTTTCCCATCCTTCTGCCAGCCCTGGAGAGCTCCCTGTCCCTGTTGTCCCAGTCCTGCCTCCTGCCATGGCCTCCAGCCTGGAGAGGTTGCTGCATCCCCTGGTTCCACCTGCAGACTCCAGCATGTCCTGGGCAGGAGATTTTGGTTGTTAATGGGGGGGTTAGTGCTGCCCTTTTGGTGGGTGAATCCCTGCTGGAGTTCTGTGCATCCCACATGGAATGTGCGTTTGCATCCCTGCCACTGACTACCAGACAGGGCTCAGCGTGTCCCAGTGACATTGGGACCTTCTGGGAGCTGAGAATGGGTGTTTGCCCTCCAAGGGAGGAGTCTGGGTCACGCAGGCAGTGTGGACAAGAGGAAGGTTTTCTGGAGCAGGGAATGAGCTGGGATTGTCACTCCCTGGCTCAAGTCCTGCTGCCTCCCACCCCCGGGGGCTCTGCAGGACCCCCGGCTTGGGGGTGGCAGGGAAGTGGAACCCTCCACGTGGTGTCTGCTCAGCTGAGACTGAGCTGGTGGGTTTTGGAGGGATCCCTCTGACTTTGGCTTTGGGGTAGTGATGCTTTCCTGGAGGAATTTTATCTTTTCCAGAGTGCTGTGCACTCTCAGTTCTTCAGGAACCCCAAAAGTGAGGTTTCACCCACCGGAGAGCAGCACATGGATGGTGCTGGAGGTCTCAGGAGCACATGGGGATGGGGAGCACCCATCCTTCTGGGAACAGCTCTTGGCTCCAGGGATGCCCCTAAGGGGGTGTGAGCCCTGTGCCCCCAGGTCTGGCTGCCCTGCAGAGCCGGCTCCTCATTCCTCCACCGTTCCCAGCAAATCCCTGCCTTGGAAAGCTCCTTTGGCTCAGGGTCCTAAGCCTCTCTCAGCAGGAATTATCTTCCCTGGCTGCCACTGCTGCCCCTGGGGCAGAGACAGAGCAGGGGCAGAGACAAGTGGGGACCTGGAGTGGGGTCTTGAGGGGCCAGAGCAGCTGCTGAGCCAGAACAGCAGCACCTCTGTGTGGGTGCAGCTGAGTCTAGGATATTTGTTGGGTGTTAACCAGGAGGAGCTGGATTTCCCTCCAGAAGAAGCTCCTTAAATTCCTTCTTTCTTTGTAACAGGCAAGTTAAACTTAATCCACAGAGCTCAAAATGCTTTAGTAAAACTGTAGCAAACCATTTGCCTGTAGGTTGGTGTTCAGCATCTGCTGCAGAAGTGTTGGGAGCCTCTGTCGACCCCACAAAGTGCCCAGGGAGTGGAAACGGGAGCATGGACACATACTTCCAAATTTGGGTTGAATCCCCCTAAATGAGAGGACTCCTGAGGAGCTGGTGGGTGCCATCTCCTCCTGAAATCCCCACACGTGATTCCCAAAGAGCATTTGCTGTGTCTTCCCTTGGCTCCAGCCAGAGCTGTCCGTAGCAGTGCTGGGCTAAGACTCTCTCCTGGTTCCAGGAGGATCCTTCAGGGTACAAAGTGATACATAATGTTATATTTAGATAGATAGATAGACAGATAGATAGACAGACAGATAGATAGATAGATAGATAGATAGATAGATAGATAGATAGATAGA